ATTCGCCAAAGTACATGATAGTTCTAGAAACGTTGCGTCACGGTGGTCATGTGACTCGCTGACGCAACAATATATTGCAGTATTACTATCAATATTCATTATCCACAATATATACCATATCTTCTTTTATATATCTGAACCTTCTTCCTTTATATTTCTGACTTCTACATCATCACTGATCTAACAAACATTTTGAAAAGTTGAATTTTCTTCTTAATGTCTTTCATTCCACTTCTCTTTGTTATACTTGTTGCATTAAGTGACCTCTGAGACTTTGCACACTGCTATTGTATCTGCATATTTGGTGTATTTGTAATAGTGAGCCACTATCCCAAGTATTTACATATATGCACAAACTCACCTTTTTGATTCTTCCCTTCCCATTATCTTCCTCTATTTCAGAATATTATAATCTTTATCTTACTAAAATTCTCTGTGTTAAATTTTTTCTGTGTGTCTATCATTCTGACTTTTCATTCACCTCTCTTAGTCCTTCCTTTCATCTATCACGATAATTATATCATCTGCAAATTTTAAGAGGTAAATCATACTTATTTCAATCACAGCACTTGAAGATTAAAGATAGCAAGCACTAGAAAAAATTGATAGTGCACAGTTCAGAAGGAAGATTCACAGGTTCTTACTGTTGACTATCAATACACTAATGAAATGTGCATTTCAGTCATTTGTACTGCAACATTTTGAATGCAATATATTACTATAGTTGTGATTAACAAGATTCAGTGTTTCACTTGCCAATTCCATGCCTGTTTTTTGATCATCATTTGGCATAGACAGGCTTAGTATCAGGAAACATATTGTACATACATGCATGCACAAAAGGATAGTCATTTCTGCTAGACTATGCATAGCCCTACATATTTCTCTGTTTCTGAAGATAGACTTTCATCCTACTAAACATGGTGATCTTAGAAGTAAGTCTTCATTTAGTGATCTTCTAGCAGAACTGCACCAAGAAAATGCACAATAATTCAGTAGGTAAACTTGCTTTCTTTGACAAGTTGATGGTGTCACCTCATGACCTCTGTTCCCTCACAACATTGGTTGACTGTTGAATTCAATCAACATTATGATCAGGCAGCAGAGGATATTAAAATAACATATTACTGCAATATCCTTGTGGACAGAAGAAACATAGTTTTTATAGAAAACAAAGAAATGAAGCAAGTAATTGTAATGATTTCTAGACCAACTATTTCTGTCATTATGGCACAGAAACTAAATGATTGAAAAATTTTAAAAATGTTTATAACACTAAAGAAGATAGAAGACGTATATCTGTACACACACATGTAGACTTATATAATTTTGATAAACTCTCCTTTCTTTCCTCCTCCCAGTTTTTTTTTCCTTTAATTTGTTTGTTGTTTGCCATTTTCTCTTTTTTCCCTGTACTTTTTTGTGCTACATGTAATTACATTATTTTTTTCAGTAAATTTTGTGAACCTCAGAAACGATTGAAAAAAACCATTGTGATAAATTGCAGGGACTGTACATGTAGAACTATCAGAATGTAAGTTAAGTTTCATGCTTTCATTTCATGTCCTTAAACATTTTTTGTCACAAATTGGAAATTTTAGTATACCTTTAACATCGGACAGTGTGATTGGCAACAATGACACTGTCCATATTGATCATGTTTTTAGTGTCTTGCAAACAATTAGGCCTTTTTAATTTTTAAAACTTTTTAACCTTTTTCAATTTCTCCTTAAAAGTAAATTCTTATAGTCAGAATGTACCATCTTTTAAAGACTGAGAACTGGAATTATGTGTAGTGATTATTAAAAAGCAACACACTTTATACAAACAAAAGGTACTTGATACATTTTCATATGAAAAGTTTGAGCTAAAAATAAATAATATTTTTGCTCATCCAATAATATGTTACTCCTAAGTCATAGCTTAAATACAAATTAGTGCAACACAATATTGTGAACCTTGTAACACCTACTGTACTGTATGTGTAATAATGGCAGTAAGCCAAAGAAAAAGTCACTGTGTTATGTATTAGACTGGAATGTCCTAAAATATATTTAAAATTATTCAAAATTTAAATGCTCTGGTAATTTACTGGTGTTGCTTTAACAAATTTCTCTATATATTTGTAATATAACATTTATTTTCATATAATGATGTAGTTTGATTTCTTGGTGAGTATTTCTTTTTTGTTTTCCTATAGATGGTGCATTCATCATGTAATATGATATTAATTTGAAAACAGTGGTGCTTAAGGAATGCATCACAAGTCCTTGGTTTTCCACAGTTGTGTGTCAACATGACCATTCTCAGGAGGAAATCATTTATTATTCCTTTACTGTTTCTGAATCTGTGATATCAAGCTCAAGTCTTTTTGGTGTACATGATACATTATCAAACTTATCTGAAAAGAGAACCTTTCCTAATTGCAATGCTCATCTCAGAGTGAAAGATCACACAGTTCCACTCTCAGTCATTGTTTTATCTCTTTCCGTGATGACTGATATTAAAAGCCTTGACAGTAACAGTGATGATCAGAATGCACTGTCTGTTAAAAATGGAGAATGGGAAAAATGTGACTCACCTGTAACAGTGTGTGCAGCAAGGAATGATATCATTAGAGGTCATGAAAAAACTCCTTACTTGACAGGGGCCAAATGTTCTGAAATGTTTTCAAACTATTCTCAAGTATGCTATCCATGCCAGTTTAATCAAGGAACTTTACATCAAGATATGCAATCAGTTCTTCACAAAAAAGACCAAGAAGATGCTCCTAATCACTTGTTAATTTTACCTACGAGTAATCAAATAGAAAATTCATCTCAAATTAATTTAGACATTTCTAGTGCTATAGTTAATTCTGGTATTTCACCAAATCACATTGAAATGAAAAATGCTAATCAAATTAATTCAATTACTGAGGATGCTGACCTACTTGTCTCAACATCTCATAGTAATTTAGAAAACTCAACTTCTGTTTGCCATCAGACAAAAAGAATCATTCCTAGTTCAGGCAATAAACTGCACATTCCAGACAATAACAGCAATAACAGCTTTATAAAATCAGATCTTTCTAAAGCTTGGAGTAATCATCCAGATGTAAATTATAAAAGAAATGAAATTAACTTTTGTGATATTGACATGTTAACAAGAGAATCTAACTTTATTCAGTTGGACAAAAAGTCGTTTGACTGTTATGAAGGGCTTATTGGTGCAGTTGGAGGATCTGATTTACCTTTAAATGAAACAAAACCTGAAAACAAAAAGAAGTGTAAGTGGGGAGATCCTCCCCATAGATTGGGTTTATTAGGTGGAGGAGAAAGTTCTTTGAACAATAGTACTTCTACATGGGATGCCCCACCTTCTTCTGGACCAAGTACATCTGGTTGGAGTAGCAATAGTAATGGAACTAATAGTGGGCAGTGGAACTCTGAAGTCAGGCAGAGCGATGGTGTTTGCACAGGCCAAAGTAAGTGCCAAAAAACACACAAATATAAACTTTTACATTTAAAATTAGCATCTTCTTTATGCACATTTATAAACTTACAACAGTAGGAGTAAGTTTATATATTATAAGTATTGTAAATTTACATTCCAAGAAAACTTTGCATTTGATTTCTTAAATGTTCTCCTATTGGTTTTAAAGAAATTTAACCCTCTTGCTACAAGTTCTGTGGATTACACTGACCTTGTGACCATGAAAGTTTCCATACTATGACTTTTAATATTTTTTGCTCATCTTTATGAAATTTAGCAAGCTTTAGGTAAACATTACAAGTCTTTTGTAAACAAAAAAATCATGTTTTTAATTAAGTATTTTTACTACAATTTTGTCTGTGAATATATGGAATCAGAGTGTTGATTGCTCTGAGTGCAAAGTAGTTTTCTTAGATTAAAATACTTTTCATCACCTGAAAATTTTCAGATTTCATTTGTGTAATCTCTAAGACCTCCTCAATAAGTATCAAAAGTAAATGTATAACTTTATATTTTATCAGTTATTTTTCTCTAACTCTATATGCATTCAGTCTGGCTTTGTAACCATCATAAAAATAAAAATAATTCTAAATTACTTTTTTCTTTCTAGAATGACTGCAAATTGTAACAGGAAACTACATTTGTTTATCCTAAACAGCTTAAAGCTCATAACAGTACTCATTTTATTGTTTTATTGCTATTTGTCTAATTAATAATCCCTCCTCACAAGTTGTAAATCACTCAGTAAATCCAGAGCTCAAATAATTATGTTCTTTTATGCAATGAATGAGCTACTCATAAACATACCTCATGAAGAATTATTTTTTCATTATCTTACCTTATCTAACCTAATAAGTTTCTAATTTTTTACATTTTAGTTACTTTTGTAATAATAAAGAATATACATAAAAAACAAGAAATATGGTACTCACCTGCATCCTCATGTTTTTTTGCTTTCAACTGTCAATGAAAGTTAAGCCTACTTTTTTATGCTGTAGTACACTAAATAATTGTTTTAAATTGAATAATGCACCTAAGAACACAGAATAATAACACACACAAAGGAAACAATGCCTTATAACTATCATAATTTATCTGGCTATCTAACTATGCAATGAGAGCCTTTACAAATTTAGCTAAGCTTCTTGATGTTACTACTGCAAGAGAAGTTTTCAAACTGGAGTTGAAATAAACAATATTCTGTACAGAAAACAACATAGTATAATGCATCGTTTGATAAATTAAAATTTTATATTTCCATTGGTTATAAGTAATTTATAGTATAGAACATCAGAGAGAACTATTTGCAATTTGTGAAAGAGAAAATGTGGCAGGTGGGCATAGCAAATGGATCTTTCTAGTTTATAGTTCCCTAACCAAATAAGATTAAAGTTTATAAAAATTTTACTTTGCCTTAACAATATCTATATTATAATAAGTAACTTGCATTAAATTACATTTTTCTCAGAGGGGTGGTAAATAAATTGGAGAAGAGGGAAGACCTAGAGAACAAATGTTACAATTCTTGTACTAGGGGATATTGAGGATTGTTTTAAATATTTTCTTATAAAATCAAGAACTTAAAGTTGTATAATATAAAAAATGTATTTATTAACTATGTTTTGATGCCAAGTAGTTTAATTTTAATTTGATTGCAACTCTCTAAAAAAAGTCGTTACATGCGCACTTTCACTTACCTATAGCAAGAGGGTTAAAACATTGTTTTTGTGGAAATGACATTGAATTTAATTCTTCAGTCAATAATATTTGCCAAAACAAAAAATAACAAAGTGTGAAGAACTACAAAAGCTTTCCACTGACATGAGAGCATTTGGATTAATTATTAGTGTACTGAAAGAGGACCATTCATGTACAGATAAGAAATATTAATGAAGATATCCCATAAATAAAGAAGTAACATATTACAGTGACTTTTAAAGGTATATAGATAAATATCTTGTAAGCAGATTTTGTTAAACAAGACCGATGTCTGTAGGTTTACTTTCTTCTTAGAATTCTTCTCAAGAAGTCGATAAGCCGTCTTAACGTTGTTAGAACAACGGGTAAAAGTTGTAGCTAGTGATGAGTTGGCCGACGCGTTTCGAATGAGTTCTGCATCTATTATCAAGGCTGAATGTTGTGTGAATTGTAATTACTGTTGGTGGATATTTATAGG